AGATTTGCCCAATGCAATATGTCCTTTGATTTCTTGACTGCTGCTTCCATGGGCATTGATTGTGGATCCAAGTAAAATGAAATCCTTGACAACTACAAAATTTTCTCCATTTACTGTGATGTTGCTCATTGGTCCAGTTGTGAGGATTTTTGTTTTCTTTATGTTGAAGTGTAATCCATTTTGAAGGCTGTAGTCTTTGCTCTTCCTCAGTAAGTGCTTCAAGTCCTCTTAACTTTCAGCAAGCAAGGTTGTGTCATCTGCATGTCTTAGGTGGTTAATAAGTCTTTTTCCAATCCTGATGCCCCGTTCTTCTTCATATAGTCCAGCTTCTTGGATTATTTGCTCAGCATACAGATGAAATAAGTATGGTGGAAGGACACAACCCTGACGCACACCTTTCCTGACTTTAAACCACACAGTATCTCCTTGTTCTGTTCAAACAACTGCCTCTTGGTCTATGTACAGGTTCCTCATGAGCATAATTAAGTGCTCTGGAATTCCCATTCTTCACAATGTTATCTAAAATTTGTTATGATCCACACAGTCGAATGCCTTTGCATAGTCAATAAAACACAAGTAAACATCTTTCTGGTATTCTTGATTCATTACCTGCTGGGAAATCTGCTCTCTGTCTCAGTTTAAAGTGGAGATTAACAAGTGTTGGGAAGCTGTTGAAGATATACCAGCAGAAATGGAGAGTTCCTCCTTGAAAGAAAGCAGAAAGATTGAAGAGGAAGTATCTGTCTCACTAACAGGAGTCAGAGTTATCTTATTCTGTGCCTAAGCGCCATCTGACATTGTCTCATGTAGATACCTCACCAGTCCCATGCTGAGGGAAATATTAACCTTGATGACAGATACACAGAATTCAAAAATTTTTTTTCAGTTGCCTTTGACCTTGAAAAATTGGGCCAGATCAGGAATGGAAATTCCTGGCATTTATAATCGATTGCACCCATGTATGGCAGACATTGCTAATTGATCCTCCCCTTCCTTTCTGCAGCACCTGGGTGCAGCTTTAGGTTCTCAATGCCACGCTGTAGGTGGCCCTGACTGATTGGATCTGGCACCTGATGACATCTCTGGACCAGACTATCCCAAAGTCCCTTCCACAAAAGGAGCTTTTATTCCTGACTCCCATTTTTCAGGCAGGGAAAACTGAGGCTGAGATGATGAGGCTGGAAAGCTGAGAGGGGCTTATGGGCAGGCAAACTCAGGGAGTCCAGCTTTCCCTACCATGTCTGGTGAGAGACCTGAGCTGGCCAAGAGCCGAGTAAGGGGCCACGTTACCCCAGGTGGAGATGGAGCAATGGGCTAGATGCCACAGTCCAGCATGGATGAGAATGCAGACTCTGGGAGACGGGGCAAAGAGGAAGCAGCTGGCTGGGGTGGAAGGAGAGACAGGGCCTGCCTGGGTCGGATTGCAGGGGAGCGAGCAGAGCAGCAGCAGCTGGGGACCAGGCTGCCTGGGGCCCCAGAGAGCTGTCAGGTGCACAGTGGGCAGATCTGGGGATAAGAGAAAAGGGAGGAGAGATGGGAGGGCTTTCCAGCCTCTCGGGTTTCTGTTTGTCCAACTGGATGTGTTCCTTTGCCTCTCCGATCTCCAGGTATCTCTGCTCTCCTTCCACCTCCCAGCTCCCACTCCAAGCAACTTCCAGTGCCCACAATTCCCAAGGAAATTATGGTGGAAACAATCCAGGACTATGATGAATAATCTACCACGGCTCTCCTCATCGTTGATAGTCTGGCTAACCTCAGAGAAGATCAAGAAGTACGTTAAAAACTAATATTTCTGTTCCAGACATTGTGCCAGGCACTTCCCAAGCATCATCTTTTGTCACCTGAAAACAACCCAGTGAGGGAGGTGTTATGACCCCTACTTTGCAGTTCAGAAAACTGAGGCTCACAGAAGTTAAGAAATGGAGCTAATGATTAGTAGAGCCAGGATTCAAACTCAGATCCATCTGGCTCCAGAACTTTTTGTCCTTTGCATGTACAAGAAAGGTAGCATGAGAGACAATTGTACAAAATGCACCTGACAGCTCTCTGCGGCTGAGGGCACTGCTGCCTTGTCCTTGCCTCCTCCCTGCCACTTCCTAATAGTGCCCCCTCAC